AAATATAAAGGGGACAAGGATATGGGGAGTGGCAATCATCCTCCCTAGGATTCCTCGAGGTTGTGGGCTCCCCAGTAGGTGATAAATGTAGCCCAGTGCAGTAGAGTAATGACCATTCTCAGCCCTCTCAGACTCAAAGTCCATTTTGGATACAAATAGCGTGCAACTCTTTTACCATCTTGAAATGAAAAACATGGCTAATATAACCTCCTTCGTGTATAATTTGAAGAAAATCAATACAATGGTCTACCATTAATATAAAAGAGGGAAATGAAAGGGAGGCAGCTTCTACTAAAGGAATATGGATTTCATTCCACAGGTGCTTAGACACGACCGCATGGAGATGAAATGAGGTAGCTGGTGCTCACAAGCTGTACGGAGCACGGCTGTGGAGGCGTGCTCGCAGACGGGTGCAGGCGAGCTGGGCTGGCAGCTCCACTACCCTCACAGGCATTGCCTGTGCTAATTTAATTTTATGAAATAGTGAGTGCTTGTGAGAGTTTCCAATCACGGGACCAGCAGGCGGTGTGGTGATGACAACACTGGGTTCTCGCATGGTTGACCACACTTATAGTCCCAGACCCAGCGGCATGAAAATCACGCCAGGCATGTATGCGTGCATGGCCAAAATCCCAGGAGGAGAATGGAGGAGAAGGGATAGTGGCATGGACAATTTCCTGGTAGGTGATTTCTTGCTTTCTTTCTCACTCTCTCTCTGTCCGGCAAGTGCACGCGCCCTATGACAAAAACCTAAAAATAAAATTCTCAATCAGTATAATCACCCCTTATTTTAGATAGACGTGACTTTCATGGAACAACTGAGAAATACCAAAATACTGCAAAAAGTGCTCTGTGTTGATGGGTACCAGGTTAGTTTCTGGAGTTATAAGTACAAAGAGTTTGCATGCGGGACTGTCATATGCATGGCCAGTAAAGCTTCCTTCATCATACGACAGCCTAAGACACACCACACCTGTCCAAATGCTTCCTAGGGCTGGTGCAACTCTGGCAGTGAAGCAAAGTATAAAGGTTGCTTACTAAGATAGTGTGGGAGGAGGGTGGGAAACGGCAGTGGTGAGAAATAGGGGGATATATACACACACACACACACACACACACACACATTTGGATGGAAAATCACATTTTATATGCCGTGACAATGTTCAGGGAATGAATGTAAATTAATTCATTTAAAATGTTTCAGGAGAAAATTACAACGAACTTGTAACTAGATTCTAGCTTTGTCCATAGTTTTAGTTTAAGGTATTTTGTGACTCAGGAAAATGTGGGAAACAATGTAAAAAATAATAATAAAATTAAATTAAAAAACAACAAGAAAAACATGTAACAGACGTAAGTATGGAAAGTTATTATGTAAAGTATTATCTTCGACTTGCTTAACAGCCAATGTATTTATGCTTTGAGAACCAATGAAGTATGCTATAAAGATGTATGATGATTGGGGCCAGCAGGTGGTGTGGTGGTTAAAAGCGTTGGACTCCCATATGGCTGACCACGGTTCGAGTCCTGGACCTGGTGGCTTGCTTTCTCCCTTTCCCTCTCTCTCTCTCTCTCGCTCTCTCTCTCTCTGTCTCTCTCTGATCAAACTGGAAAATAATAAAGTTAAATAACAAAACAAATAATTCTAAAAAAAAAAGATGTATGATGATTAAATGTAAATTTAAAAAATAAATTAAAATTTACCTAAAAAAAGGTTGCTAACTATTGCAACCAAATGAAACTCACAAGAGAGACCAATCTGCATCTATTAAATTATTCAACCAACAGACACAACACTTTCATTTTGAGCAAGAAAGTTATACGTTTATTTAACAACTATCTATAGAAGACATGCCAAAAGCTAGGCATTATATCAAGATGTAACAAAACTTGGTATTTTTTTCAAGGATTTTGCAGTTTAATGTTCAAGGAAAGTTTCAAATATAAAAAAAAAATCACTAAAATAACAAAGTACTGTAAAAAGTATAAAGGGACAAAAAGCACAAGAGGAATAGACAAACATGTGTTTGATTTATAGTTGCTATTGTATTGCATGGAAAAAAAAAAAAAGACGCTGGTTTCCAACGGGCAGGATTCCCACCTCTCCTGCTGTGTCACAAAGAACAAGACGACTGGTGCCTCGTCACCTACACAACAGCCACGCGACGCTCACGTGTGCTCCTACTCATATCCACGCTCGGTGTCTGGGAGAAGTCAGACCCCTCTGGGCTACAGACTTGTGAGCTGAAGGGGACAGGAAAGCAGGGGCACCTCTAGAAGTCGGCTCCAGAGGAAAGAAGGCATTCTGGGTCCCTGCATCTCTGGAGACTTGGGACAGAAGGATGGTAAAATACAAACGCGGATTAAAGTAGAAGCAAGGAGAGTTCTACCCTCCTAAGAAGCCTTTCTAGGTATTTGCTCTTCTCCCGGGCAGAGCTGACCACCCCTTTGTTTTTGGCATGTAATGTCCAGAACAATACCCAAATACTGCTTTTTAAAAAAAAATTTTTTGGGGGGGGGGGCACCAGCAGTTAGCGTAATGGCTATATCGCTGGACTCCCACGTAGTCGACCGCGGTTCGAGTCCCGGATCCGGTGGCTTAAACTCACGCCGGGCGCGTGTGCGTGCGTGCCCAAGATCCCGAGAGGAGAATGGAGGAGAAGGGATTGCGGCGTGGCCATCCCCCCTGGGGGGTGATTTCCTGCTTTCTGTCTCTCTGTCTCTCTGTCTGTCTGGTGAGCGCACACGCCCTATAGCAAAAACCTCTCAAAAAAAAAAAAATTTTTTTTAATGTACCTGGCTCCCCTTATCAAATTGCGTGGCATCTGGGGTAGTGGCTCTATTTTTTAAAATTATTTTAACCCTAGAATCTGGCCAAGAACCTGGAAGGAGTGCAGTAGGACCGCAAGAGATTTCTGCTAAACGCATCGCGGGAAGGAAGGGAGGGCGGAAGGGAGGGCAAAGCCCGTGTCTATAGCTCTTCCCAGGCTTTGTTCTCTTCCTTCCTGACAGTGTGCGCACATGCACGTGAGAGTGAAATGGATGGGCACCCTCTCCAGGGTCTGGTCACGGTACAATGTCCTCCCTCCAGTCTGCCAGCCCACTAGATCTCGGGCTTTGGGAAGTGTGCCTGGTGTATTTCAGGTGGACCGGGCTGAGGATTTAAACTGCAGTTGCTGTATGGGATCTAGCTTCCCAAGTAATGTGTTACCGTTGTGCACAGAGCTGACCGACTCAGGCTGAAGAGAGATTTTTGCTGTAGGACGTGTGTACTCACCAGAGAGAAAGAGAGACAGAGAGATGGAAAGTGAGAAATCACCGCCCCCCCCCTCCCAAGGGGGATGGCCACACCACAATCCCTTCTCCATGCTCTCGGGATTTTGGGCGCACACACACATGTGCCTGGCATGAGTTTTTTTTTTTTTTTCTTAATTCATAATTTTGTTTGTTTCTCCCCTGAGAATGACAGGGATGAGAAGGGAGAGACAGACAGACACCCCACACTGTGATCTTTCCCCCAGCCTTAGCTAGCCAGGATAATGACATGCAGGCACCGTCCAGGCGTGTAGAGTCCTTGAGACATGAACCTGAGACCTTCCCATGTGGCCTCAGCATCGGAGAGTGTTGTGTTACCACTGTGCCACTGCAGGTGGCCTGAAGGTGTATTCTTTCTTTTCTTTCTTTCTTTCTTTCTTTCTTTCTTTCTTTCTTTCTTTCTTTCTTTCTTTCTTTCTTTTCTTTTTTTTTTTTTTAGAGAGGTTTTCACTATAGGGCGCGTGTGCTCACCAGAAAGACAGAGAGAGACAGAGAGACCAAAAGCAAGAAATCCCCCCAACCAGGGGGGATGGCCGTGCCACAATCCCTTCTCCTCCATTCTCCTCTTGGGATCTTGGGCACGCATGCACACACGCCCAGTGTGAGTTTAAGCCACCAGGTCTGGGACTCGAACTGTAGTTGGCTACCTGGGAGTCCAGCGATGCATTACGCCAACTGCTGGTCCGCATGGCTTGAGTTTCAAGCCACCAGGTCTGGACTTGGTCTGGGACTTGAACCCCAGTTGGCCATGTGGGAGTCCAGCGACATAGCCATTACGCCAACTGCTGGCCCCCCATCCCCAGGTATTTTCACATAAGAAGAAGGTTACTATCAGCAGTGACTGACTAACGAGCTGAAAGACAAGAAGGAAGAAAGGATGATGACAGATGCAGACAGACGATAATCCACTCCTTTGCTGTTGTTGGATGTCCTCTTAGCAGTGCACACGAAGCCTCTCATTCTGCAATTAGCAGCGACAGGGGTTAAAGGCAGACCCCTAAGAGAAACACACATTTTAGGCAAAGTATAAATGAGGATAGTGGATTTTTTTTTCTCATTTTGGGAAGGGAACGA